AATCGAGAATACTGGAGACAGTTGACTCGTACAGCAGACCCTGTGTAAGCGGGAAAATGCGAAGATTAAACAAATGAAATCGAATGTAAACTGAATAAATGAATGAGTAATGAAAAAAGTAAAAGTGACGAAGTGATTGGATGAGCTGAACGAAGGACTGAATGATTAGATCAGTGAATTCTTGATAAGTGGATAACGAATGTATGTATGAATGAATGAGTGATTAAATTGATGAATGGATGAATGAATGAGTGAACGTGTGAATATAATGAATGAATAAAGCGAATAAATAAGGGTATGAATGGGAGGTATGATAGGAATGGTTGCATAAGATCAATGAATGACCATGAATGGAACAAATGATTGGATGCGACCGCACAATTGCTAATAAACGAAATCAATCAAATAATAAATGGGCGACTGGTTGAATGGTTGATTGATGATTGTAGAGATGAATGAGTAGATGTTCTTATGAATACGTTGTAAGCGAGAGCAATACTATTTATAGGTGATTTCCGTCATCAACAAGATCAACGAGCGAAGAGACTCACAGATGACAACTCCGCGTGTTTCACAGAAACCCCTATACAAATTGGGGTGATTTTATACTAACCATGTTTAAATCTCTACAATCTTTTAACTCTTTGCAAACGTTTTTTTTTTGACGGTCAAAGAAAAGTTCTATACTCCAAGAGAATTATTTTTCCGGGATATGAGCGGCACAGATGGTAACAGTGGTGGCATTGGAGCAAGTCGCAGAAGTTTTGGAGAGGACCAGTATGCGACACCTTCAGCTGCATCGCCGGACGTTTGGGATATCAGAAAGGTTCTGACATGTTCTTAAACTTTTTCAACTCTCTTATTGTTGAAAAAATATCTGTAGAAAAAAGCAGCAGATCTAGAACGATTACGATTGGAGTCTAGGTTGAAGGCGAGATTGAAAACTGACGAGGAGTTGGGGCTAGGTTTGTTGTCTTCTGCATTTTCTCGGCTTTTGGGTTGGTTGGACTGCAGGCATATTGCTGGCTTATCTCCTATGCATTCTTGCAGAAGTGTGCAATTCGCCAACGCATATATCCGTTAATG